CGAGAGCTCGTGAGCTCGTCAAAATGGCTTGTGGGTCGTGTGCCCAAGAGATCGACGAGCCGCTCAACCTGTTTGACATTCCTAATTTCTTTAGACAAAAGACTGCAAAACAAATTCAATTAAAAGTTTTAAAAAAATGCTAAATAATGAAAATGTCCTTAAACTAACTTAATATAGAAAATTTTGAAATTTGAGCTGAAAGTTATGAGCATATTCGTAGACCGTGCCTATTTCTTATCTTTCCAATTGTTTTGGGATTTTCTATTCCAACTGCTCCGCATCATTTTGATATTAAAACCAATATAACCAATTTCAACCTTTTAACTTCTACACAGACAACCAAGACATTACAGTACATAAAAGAATGTTAAGTACCCATATTGCAGAAATTGTTGTAATCAAATTAAAATTCCTCTTCAAAATGAAGTCTACAAAATTGATCAACCAAAAAGAGATTAATCAGTTTTATCTTTGATATTAAATAAGTAATCTAACTTCACTTCCTCAAGAAGAAAATCGAACTTGGTGCATATACAAATTACCTCTTCTTTTGTCTTTCCATAAATCCTGCAATCAGGTACTGAATATACCAATTTTCCCAATTGGGAACCTCTTTTTCTCTATATACACACTTTCGTTCTACACCATGGCCCAAGTTTTACAACAATACCTGAATTCTTCCTATTATTACCCCTACCTATCCCCATACCCAGCCCATAATCACTACGACAATACCAATAATGCCTTCACCCACCGCCACCTCTTCCCGTCCCCCATCCAACCTCAATTTATAAAATAAAACCACAATTTATTTATTATAGAATATTATTTTATCACAGCGAAATATATCATTTGGGCACACAACCCAACCCAACACTTAGAAACATACATGTTCAATATACTTGGTTGGATACGACTAACATAATTAAGAAAGAGAGGCATATGACGGAAGCAAAACAATGATAATATGACCCCAAGATTAGATATTTAATGAACTCAAGTACTATATAATGACAGATAAACAGAGTATGATGTACAGGTGCACAATTGCTATCAACGAAGATGCTATATGTACTAACACTTTTGTACAAAATCTTTTACTTAAACTCAAAATGAAAAGGTGAGATCTACATGTCGGAATTATTTAATCCATGTGGGGACAACATGCATGTGAGAGTGAGTTGAAGTTTTTGTCAACCAAAGTTTGTACAAATATCTTAATCCTTGTTATCAAAACATTCTTTTCTTCTGTTCTTTTACTTTAATGTATTAGACATTATTCCTCAGGGAAGTAATAGAACTACACATAGCTTAGATCAATGTTTCACTTATCATTCCCTTCTCTTTTTTTCTTTTCCTAGTGCCATTGGCCTTGCACATGTGTAAAATGATGCATTAGAAGGAGAAGGCTCCGGCATTATCCTTCTCGTCACCAAATATGCGTTGCCGGAAGTCAGTTACCATGAGAGGAAGTCCTTCCCTTAAAGACACATTCGGCTGCCACCCAAGATGTTTTTTGGCTTTCGAAATGTCGGGCTTCTTCTTGTGAGGGTCATCCTCAATGTTTGGCCTAAACTCGATCTTAGCATTTTTATCGATTATCTCTTGCACAACCTATAAACCAGAGCGAATCAATTAGTCCCTGACTAGTACACAATTCCAATAATAACAGATTCAAAACTTCGAACATGCATGCACGTCCTAAATCAACTACCTACATCGAAGATTTTGCGAAATTATATTTTTCTAGTTGGATTTTTGATAAATCCGTCACTATATTCTTTTCTTTCACATTGTACACATACAAACATGAGGCGTGCCAGAGTGTGCATGAATATCATCTTCCAATTAGCCAACTCTTGCAATTTAATGACCTGTGTTAGCTGGAATACACTGTTGACTGCTGCTGTTACTCCTATTATATATATTTCATCGCTTAACATGGAATCTTGAATATATGAATATGACACAAATGAATTCTAGTGTGCTAGAGTATAAATCAACCTGAGCAAGTTCAAGCATTGTAAATTCACCCGGGTTCCCGAGATTGAAAGGACCGACATGATCTCATTCCATCAATCGCATCAAACCTTCCACCTGGTCATAACAAAGTACAAATAAATTTTTCAGTAGTTCATTTTTCCACCATAATTTCAGTGGATAACAAATTGAGACGTGCGAAGACTGATTTCTCAGACACCAGAAGCTCAAACCAAATGGAGACGAGAGATCAAGGGATAAATTGTTTCATCCTTTGAGAAGAACAAACGAAACTAATTAAGAATGGAATACTAATATCGATACACCCTACAACATTCAATTAGTCTCTCACTTCTCAAGATTGAACGATGTTACAAGACTTCCATTCTTGCAAAGTGATGACTATCAGTGTTCAAAATTTGGCATATCTTGCTGGTGATAATCTAACAGACTCATCATCAGAAATAACGTAATGGAAGAATGTAATTAGGACCATCGCTCTTACAATGAAATTGCAGAAAAAACGAACGCCTCAATCGAAAAGATTGCAGGAACATAGACAACTTACCAAATCAGAAACGTATTGGAAGCTCCTAGTTTGCTTTCCATCCCCATAAACTGTCAAAGGTTCTTTTCTCAAGGCCTGCACAAACACTTTACGACATGAGTAGGGAGTAGTTATAAATAAATAGTTATGCATTAATTCCAATTACTGGTCTTTGTAATCATTTCTCAAGGAAAACAACATTAATGGCATGCTTAGTAAGGATTTGAAAGTATCGAATATTGTTAAGAGCATCTCCAAAAGACACTCCAAACATAAGATGCTCTCTAAGTTAAAAAGTCAACCCTTAAAATTATGTTCCAAAAAACTCTTTAAATTAATATTTTAGTTTAGAGTGTGAATTTAACATTCTAAATTTAGAGAGCCAAACCCACTCTTTAATTAAATGCATCCAAAATATTTCAATTTTCAATAAAAGAAAATAATATAATAATTTGGAGTAAAGCTAATGAAAATAAAATATATGAAAAAATAATAAGTATTTTTCGAGAGTGGTAAAATTAAGTGTTAAATATGAAAAGTCCGTTGGAGTACTTAAAAACTTTTACTCTTTAACTTTATTGATGCACTCTAAATTGTAGAATATAAAAATAGAGAATCTCTTGGAGATGCTCTAGGAGGAAAAAAAACTAAAATCCTATTTTTTATATTGTCTAGTACCGCACATCAAACATGCATTATAAGTGTTGAAAATTCTAGCAATTCTCACCTAAAAAAAATTTAAACCATATTTGTGTAGCTAGTAACGAATTTACTGTTGGATGGAAAAATTTATAGACAATGTACCTCGAGGTTAAGTCCTCTGTGGTAATCCATGGTCAAGGTCTCAGCTGTACGCTAGCCATCATAACAACTTCGAACTCGTGCTCCCAATTCAAAACTAATTGAGGTGAAATACCTCCAATTGGATAACAAAATTGAAGGGTAAATATCAACTTCTCAGTTCTCCAAATTATTCGTTCCAGAAGTGAATGACTAGATGAACCTTTATGTAAACAAATAAACAGTCAACTATGCTCTAAGTGAACACTATCAGATGCAGCCACAGAGACAAGATATACAAAAAGACTACAAAAACAAGCTTCTAAGTCCTAAACTAGTATCAAATGATGATAAAATTTTCTCATTTAACAAGCTAAATCAGATAGAGTTCCTTTTGATCATATCTTCACTGGAATAAACACAATACATAGTCTAAAAGTAACAAGTCATCTTAGCTGACTCACCAATTGGATTGACATTGCCCCAGTAAGTCTCGGCTTGTGGATGCTGCAAAGGATCACCATACACCTCACTGGTGCTTGTAAGCAAAAATCAGGCACCAACTCACTTTGCTAGCCCCAACATGTTCAGTGTTCCCATCACATTGGTCTTGTGATCCCTAGCAAATAAAATTAAGGAATCTTCCCAAAACACCAAAAGTTGAATAAAGACCAGGACAATTCTCATCAATTTCCCATACTAATGGAAGCATACATATGAAGCACAAAGGCATGAAGATGTCAACTAGTCTAACTTGTTTCCATGTCAAATTCTAGAATTAATATGGAGAAAATAATGTGAAGTATTCTTGGACAGTAATAAAATCAATGCTGTCTAAATCTGAAGATTGTAACTCTAAGGGGATCTAGAAGAATATAAAATTTCAGGGAAATGAACACAAGCCGCATTTTGAAAGAACATTTAATTTCCTAATCGAGGATTTACAGAAATGAGCTTTTTGAGATTTTAGAGGGACATTTGGAAGATGTAGCTGTTCTACAGAATATCAACTAGTAGAATCTGAACCTTTACATTCCCTTTCAAATTGAAAATACAATTAAAGATTAAAATCAAGAAGTTTGTTAATTTAGAATAGAAGATTTAAAAGGATATAATTGTCTTGACAGGGTTGTACTTGTAATGAACAGGAGATGCAGGGCAAGCCAAATGGTAGATTTGGTCCACCTCTAGCAGAATGGGCTCGACTACATCATGTCGAATGAGCTCAAACTTGGGGTTGTTTATGTCGGATAAAAGATTTTCCTTACGTCCTGTAAAAAAATTATCAACCACAATCACATTGTCGCCACGTGCTATCAGACAATCCACCAAATGGCTCCCCAAAAAACCAGCTCCACCAGTAACCAAAATCCTTAAACTTTTACTTTTCAACCCCAAAGGAATTCTTCCACCCGCATCACCATCAAGTTTCTGTCAAAATACTAGTGCAATATCAAAATTTCATGATATTGCTTGCCTACCAAGGATGCAACACATCTAAACCAGTGAAATGACCAAGAAAAAAAGGTGCACATGAAGAGGCACACCTGTGTTCTTAGCATGAAATACCCATTTTTCTTTCTTTTATTTGCTTTCAAAAGAGGGGAGGCGTTGCATTCAAGGAAAGAAAGCTGGTCCGGTGCTAATAGAATTGCTTACTTTCATAGTACCGAAGGAAAGGGCAGGGCCTTTTTCGTATTAATGTGGGCGGGTCTAAGTCTTACATGGTTGCAGAACAATGAGAAAATAGTTAAACACACTGCAAAAGCATGAACAAATATTTCATGCATCTTATTGTATCTCATTAACTTATCAGAGTTTTGCCAAAGAAATTGGTATATGATTGAAAAATCGAAAGCTTTGACTCGCATAACCTATATGCTGAAAGCAAAATTGGGATGGCGATCATTCATTATATGACACTTTGCTCAAAAAATGTCAGAACTTCCTATATATATTTTGACTGCATTTAATTCGTTTTATTATACAGCATGGAAGCAACAAATAAGGTCATGTCTATCTCAATTTCTTTAATTATTTATGACCTAAGAAATGAATTCACTTACAAAGACAGCCAACTGATTTCTCACATATGAAAGAACTTTAGAACACAATTGTTGAGAATTTTCATAGAACTTGTACAATTAAACTCAAACATTTCACCAAAGAGTGTAATATTTTTCATATTCCCACATGAAATATCAAATACTTCATACAAAAACAAATTATTTAACCCTTTCTGCATCAATATCCAATACCTATTAACCCAAAATTTCAAAAAAAATAATCTCAACATGTTTCTTCACTCTCACAACATCCTACCTTAAAAGAAAAGAAAATTTAAAACATAGATACAATGTAATTTCTAAGAAAAAATAGTTGAACTCTATACATCAAAACTAAAATTAACCCATTATTTGTGCTGCTAATACCTGCACTATTGGTAACTCATTTCACCAACTAGTGCAAAGTTTTTCACATTCCCACATGAAAGATCAAATACTTCATACAAAAACAAATTATTAAACATTTACCTGCATCTTGATCTACTACCCATAAAATAAACTCTACATGACAAAACCACAAAAAAAAAAAAAAAAAAAAGGGCCAAACAAATTGTCAAAACCAAATCTAGTTTTGAAGAAAAAAAATTAATTGAACTATACACTAAAAGCTAAAATTAACCATGGTTTTTGTTGCTAATACCTGCACCATGGTGCCCATTTCCATCACGTTCACGTAACTCATACGCAGTTCTTCGGGGCAATTGAATGGGCTCATTGGATTCAGCGATCCACTCTTCACGCGACGGCGAAACAGAGGGAATGATAGTGAAAACCATACACGATATCGCAATTCCAACAAAAAGACACACCAATCTTTGCTCTCGAAGCACATAATAAAATGGATACGTTGCAGAAATTCTCTTCTGACATTTCTTAATATAATTTCTTTTCAACAACTGATCAGTACCCATATCTTGTTTTCTCCTAAATCACTCTCTTTCAGAAGATTTTTCTCTTAATTTCACTGAAAATTATGCAGGTGCGAAAAGTGGGGGTACGAAGGAAACAGGGTAAAAAAATAGTAAGAAATCCGGTGGGATTTGTTGATCGAGCGAGGATGATAAATGTTTGTGTACATGTAATGATGATAAATGTTTGTGTACATGTATGTATGCATATACACTATTCATACATGTTTGTATATGCGTGATGGAGA